CTGCCTTCAGAGGGCGAGTGCTGATGGCTGGCACATCTGTCCAGGTGTGCTCATCCTGTGTCCTTTGGGTGTTATCCCATCCCAGCAGGCATTTTAACACAGGCACACTGATAGCAGCTATTGCACTGAGCTTCATTACCAACAGAAATAAAAACCACCTCTTTATAACAAAGTTGCTTTAACACCACACATATAGAATCCACTTTCCTATTTGTGAAAAGCCAACATTATAATGTGTATCTATAACATACCACAGCCAGCTCAGCCAAGAGGGGCAGAAGGGCCTTTTGCAGGGTCAGTTCCAGCGAGGTTTATTTCAGCAGGCTGAAGGGAAACCAGGGCCAAAAGATGAGCCCATGTGCTGTGCACAAGGTTTAAGCAGGGGATGGCACAAGGGGCAGGGCAAAGGGCCTCGCCCTACAGGGAAGATGGGGCCACCCACCAGGGATACCACAGCCAGTGAGGGAACAGGGAAAGGAGAAACCAGGAGAGTTTGGGACATACGGGGAAGGGAACTGGGATGGATCATGTTGTTGTACAAGACTCCACGAGGAAGTACTTTCCAGCTAGGGTGAACTCTGTTGAAGTCTCTCCAAGGCAGGGCTCTGGGATTTCCCTGAGGGGAAAGGACTCGGAGGACTCCCCAGCGTGGGTGCTGAGGTGTCCCCCACGCTCTGCTCTCTCCCCGCCGGAGGCACGGCCCTGCCGGCGCTCATCGGCTCCGCCCGGGAGCCGGGCAGCTGTGCCCAGCTGGTGCTGGTCATCTCCAACAGACCCGGCGTGCAGGAGCTGCGGAGCGCCGCCCGCGCCGGGATCCCCACCAGGGTGAGTGCCGGGAGCGACCGCTCACTCGGAAAGTGTTCAAGCCTTTGTTAAACCTCAACAAAAATTACAGCACAAGGACTAAATAAGGGGAAATTGTAGCGCTGGGAGCTGCCCTCGTGGGTACCCGGGTACCGCCTCGTGGGTGGCTGGCTCATCTTCAAGATGGGTGCTCAGTCTTTTATACCCCTGGGGGTTGCATCAGCCACCCCGAGCTCTTCCCAAAGTCTGTCAGTCAGCTCTTCTTTGCTGTATTTCGGTGGATTGCTTTCTTGTAACTTGATTGGAGGTCAGGCGTTGTCATGCCCTCCCCTAGCAAGAAGCTTTTCCATTCCCAGCTGCCCCATGGAAGGGGTGTATGTACATGGCTTCTTTCTACCTGTCCTAGACAACCCAGGTGGGAACAATGCAGAGGGGGAGAAAAAGGGGACTCTGGGGACAAGAGAGGACATTTAAATAATAATAACTATACATCAACAAAGCCTCTCTTAATATACACACAGTATTCATCCCTTAATTGGGAGAGCTAATCATCTCATTATCCATCTGTAACAGTAAGGACACATCCCCTTCTCCTTTCTGTTCCCAGCTGCTGAGCCTGTGGTTGCTCAGGAAATGCTTGCTGAGCATTGAGGTTTCACTTCAAAGTAAAACTTTCCCCCTGGATGCAGCACAGAGCTGGGAGTCCTCACTTGGGCTCTGGCAGCTTTTCCCAGCTTGGCAGTGAGTGCTGCATGCCAGGGAAGGGATTTCAATGGATTATTGGGGTCTGAAACTGCAGCCCATGAGCCTCAAGCTTAGGCTGAAATAAGCCCAACTTCAGGTTCTGCAAAGCACAGGAATGTGTTGTCTCCTGGGTTTATCCCTCCTTGGAATCACAGAATCCAAAAATGCTTTGGGTTGGGAGGGACCTCAAATCTCACCCAGTGCCACCCCAGCCGTGGGCAGGGACACCTCCCACTGTCCCAGGCTGCTCCAGCCCCAGTGTCCAGCCTGGCCTTGGGCACTGCCAGGGATCCAGGGGAATCTGGGAATTCCATCCCAGCCCTGCCCACCCTGCCAGGGAACAATTCCCAATTCCCAATCTCCCATCAAATCCTAATTTGAAGCCATTCCCTGGCTCCTGTCCCTCCATCCTTGTCCCCAGTCCCTCTGCAGCTCTCCTGGAGCCCCTCCAGGCCCTGGCAGGGCTCTGAGCTCTCCCTGGAACCTTCTCCAGGATGAAAACCTGTGTCTCACATTGTGCCCAGTCCCATACAAGTTTTCTCCTGCCTGTGGGCCACAAAGCAGCTCTTTGGGACAGGAATTTGTTCTGGCTAGTTCCATAAAAACCCCTGGCAAGGACCATCAGCATTGTCTGAGAACATTCCATGACGGGATGTCAAAGGCAGGAACTCCCCCTTCTGACATCAAGTGGGTTTGAGCAGTTTTTACAGCTGTGCACAGGTGGAAATAAACTCTGCTAGAGGCTGTCCCTGCATGGAAAGGGTTCTGAAGCAGTTTCTTCAGCTCCTGGGTTGGATTCACATGATATTTTTCAAAATAAAAAAGTTATACCAAAATTCACTCACATTTTCACAGGTAAGGGCACAAAGTTTTGTGAGCCCCTTGTTTGCAGGTCCTCAGGAGAGTCAGGAATCAGCACTCACCTGGGGGGCTGAAAATGGGAGGTGGGGCAAGAATAAAGGACCTCCTCCTCCCCTTACCCAGAGGGCCTGGCCAATTGACTCCACTGCCTCCCTGGGCCACTCATTCCATGCCTGACCATTCTTAAAAGGGAAAAATTGTTTCTAATCTTCAATCCGAACCTCCCCTCGTGCAATTTAGGGCCAGTTCCTCTCCGCCTTTCACTTGGGACATGGCAGAAAGACTGATCCCACTTCACTGCACCCTCCTTTCAAATCATGGAGCATCCTGGAATTAATCTGGTTTGTTCCTCACTTGTTGCCCATTCCCACCTTTTGTTGTGTCTCACTGCTCCAGGTGATTGATCACAAATTGTACGGGAGTCGCTCGGAATTCGACAGCACCATTGACCGAGTCCTGGAGGAATTCTCTGTGGAGCTCATCTGTCTGTCAGGGTTCATGAGAGTTCTGTCCAGCCCTTTTCTCCGAAAATGGAAAGGTAAGAAATTAAATGGAAAACAGAAACTAAAGCAGGGCTGGTTGGTCTCACCAGGATTCCACTGCCAGAGCTCCTTGTCCTTTGATTAAATCCCTCAGCCCTGCTGGCACTACTGACATTCCGGGAAGGAAACCCTGTGCTTCCCTCTGGCAGTGGGGCTGTGGGAATTCTGGTGTGGGAATTCTGAATATGGGATTCTGCTTCCATTCCCTCTGGCAGTGAGGCTGTGGGAATTCTGAATATGGGATTCTGCTTCCATTCCCTCTGGCAGTGAGGCTGTGGGAATTCTGAATATGGGATTCTGCTTTCCTTCCCTCTTTCAGAGGGGCTGTGGGCATTCTGGTGTGGGAATTCTCAATATGGGATTCTGCTTCCCTTTCCTCTGGCAGTGGGGCTGTGAGAATCCTGGTCTGGGAATTCTGAATGTGGGATTCTGCTTCCCTCTGGCAGTGAGGCTATGTTGGGATTCTGCTTCCAATCCCCCTGGAAGTGGGATTGTATTGGGATTCTGGCTGAGGATTGCCAAGGAACCCCTTGTGCTGCCTCAGCAGTGAGAGAGGGGCAAAGTAGGGCCGTGGGGTGGCTCTGTGCCTTCCCCAGGGAAGGACTTCAATCCCATCCTTTGCCAGGGAGCTGTGCTGGGGAGTCCTGCTGAACTCTGAGCCCCTGCAATTCCCACTCGGAGAAAAATGGGAGAAAGATGGATTTATCCATTCCCAGGAGGGATTTCTCCCTCCCGTGGTGCCCTGCACATCCTGACACAGCTCTGTGGGTGCCCCAAGTGAGTGAGGGGTGAGCAGTATCAGCTCCTGAGGCCTCGCTCGGGAGTTACTCACTCACTGACAGCTTGCACAGGCTCCTTTGGGAATGTTGCTGCATCCATGCTTCTGAAAGAGCAGAATTCCCCCAGAGCAGACCCATGCTGCTCAGGGTTTGGACTGATGATCACATTTCATTTTATTTTTAAGAAAATTCTGTTCAAATTATCTTCTTTTTTTTCCTTTTTTTTTTTTTTCTTTTTCTCTTCTCACACTGATGTCCAGGGAAAATTTTGAATGCTTCTCCATCACTTTTTCCACTCATCAAGGATGGAAATGCCCAGCAAGAGCCCCTGGAAAGTGGATTCAAAGTCACAGGCTGCACTGTGCATTTCGTCCTGGTGAGTAGCCTCAGAACCGGGAAAATTAGGAAGTTAGCAATTTGGTTTTTTCCTTTTCTTTCTGGGGGCAGAAACAGGCAGCGGTAACAGCTGTGGGAAGGGGTGGCATTGTCACCGGTAAAGACCAGGCACAGCTGGGGTTGCTTGAAGCCTTGTCTTCTCCCCTTGCATTTTGGGGTGGGTTCTTCCCATTTCTCCTGCTGGCAGGAGGAGACGAAACCCTTTCTTGCCGCACGGCCACACCGCAGCCCTTGCCCCGCTCTGTGCCCGCAGGAGGAGCCGGGCGCCGGCGCCGCGATCCGCCGGGAGCCGCTGCCCCGGCCGGGGCGCCCGGGGGCAGCGCTGGGCGAGCGGCTGCAGGAGGCCGAGCTCAGGGCGTTCCCCCTGGCCCTGCAGCTGGTGGCCAGCGGGGCTGCCTGGCTGGGAGCCCACGGAAGGACGTGCTGGAGGAGGCGGGGGAGCCGCGGGATGAGCCCGGAGCGGGGGCACGGAGCGGCCTCGCCCGAGGAGCCGCCGGAACGCGAGGGGATCTGGGCGGGTCCCTGAGGGG